GACGATACGGACTATTGTCGAAGTACACTGTGTCGCAGAGCCGCGTCGACTGTATGCACGCCGAGGTAGCGCGCATTTTCGTGGGCGTGGAGCGGTGAATTAAAACGGGAAAATTAAGGACGATTGACACTGAACTGCCGCACATCGGGTCACGGCGGCCATTGCGCGTCCCGAGGCACACGCACGCCACCTCATACGAAACAGCGCCATCCTACTTCGTTTTTCTATACAGTGTCCTAGCAGTATTGCAATTACTTTTTGTGTTTTTATTATTGTTAAGTGATATTTCATTTAGATCTTAAATAAGTATTTCTTTATTTTATATATATTATATATATTTATAATAAATTTAATATTTAAAATTTATATTGTTCTATATATAGAACAGAAATATTTGATGTTACCAATTGATCAAAATCCTAGGTTAGAAGAAATGGCGGGATAAAATAGATTATATATAGAATAATTTTCAGGTAATATAATTTTGATTATTAACAAACATTATTGATAATCTTAAATTATTTAAAATTGTTTTGATATTTTGTAATTAGTATTAACAATTAAATAAGAAAGAGATAATTTGAAAGAAGATTTTTGAAAAATCATTTTCAGATAATGATTAATAAATATTCGAGTAATTAATATCCATCCTAAAACTTTTTTTGAAATAAAAAACTTTTATTTTGACAAATTAATATAAATAATGAATTATTTAATATTATTTTTGTATATTTATATATATACAAGTATAGTATATTTGTATATTAAAATCTTAATTAATAATATTATTTTGAATTAACTTTTTAAATATTTCATTTAATATTATTGTTTTATAACAATTTTCTTTAATAGTTCATATAATAAATTGCATAACATAAATGGTTTTAATTGCAAGACACCCAATATACAAGCTGATTTCGATAAGAATCCATTGCGTTGAAAGCACAGCGTGTTGTTCTGACTAGCATGATGCCCGTTACTTTTGTGCTCACGTCATAGAAGCAAAGGTTCGTTTTCCTTCTACAATCAGTTTTGGATCCATAATTTCATCTAATATATTAATTTAATTTTTTTTTTTTATCTTTTTGTTAAAATATCGATGTGAAAAAATTTCAAATAATTTGTTATCAAATCTTTTTAGATTTATATTTAATCATGACAATTTTTTAAATAATATGTAAAAATCTATATCTNAACACAAAATATTAATTTTTTGTATGATTGTTACTAAATTTGATAATATTAATAAATTGTTCTTTATTCTATTTGAATTTTTTTGCTGAGTGATGAAAAATAATGGAAATATAATATATAATATACAATATATATTAATATATTAAATATATAATATAAAATATAATATATATATATAAAAATAATATAACATAAACAATAAAAATTGGATAACAATAAATCAATTTAGTAAAAAATAGAAATTTTGAGATATAAGTATTAAAAAAAAATGTTGAAAATGTCAAAAAGAGGACTTAATCAATGTTGAATATAAAATATACTCATCACATAACGATGTGCTTCCGGTATGCTTCAATATGATTGAACGGTACCGAGAAAATGGGGTTAAACATTAATGGTAATGTTACATTTTTTGGATCACAATAAACGATTCATGTATATTATATTTTATTTCATATTATATATATTTATGCATAATCTATCTCAAAAGAATACAATAGGCAATTATTTTTACTCAAATGAAAATAATTAAAAATAAAAATATGACAATTTATAAACTATATTTTCATTATAAGAATTGAAAATCAAATTAGTATAATACTATCGATTTATTATCGATTTATTCTCGTTTTTATATTATATACTCGTATTTTTTTATATTATTATTATTATTATTTAATCACAATTATGTTAATAAATCGCATATTTACCATAAAATCACATGTTCGACTAGAAAAAACACACTATCATGGAGCATTAATATTCTTGTCGCTATTTTTGTACCGTATGAATGACGATTAAAATTATTTTCAGTGATTGCAATACGGGACTGTGACCCATATTATTGGAAATAATAATGATATATTTTCGGCTAGATAATATATTATATATATAATAATAATATATTTCGGTTAGATAATAATTATTAAATCATAATAATAAATTCATTCATTTCTTTTTTTTATAATTATTTGAATTTTTATAAACACGTAACAAAAATTTTCAGAGTTTTTTAGAATGATAGCAACGAACATATGTGAATATGTATAACATATGTGAATATAATATACAATATATATTCATAAAAAAAAATAATTTGTTATAGTGTACATCTATAAAAAACAATTTACATAAATAGTTAATCTATTATTAATATACCTATATGTATAATTGAATATGAAGAAAAAAATTATTTCATATTACAAATATATATTATACATTTGTTATTAAAAAATTGAATTAATTTTTTATTAATTTTCAATTCTATTAATTAATAATTAATAATTATTAATTTTACAATATTATAATTTAAACTATAAATTAAACTAGAAATTAATTAGAATTGGAATTTATTTTTATAGATGAATAATAATTTATAGATAAATAACATAAGAAATATGTTCATTTAATTTCTAATTTTTTGATAAATTAATTATTTATAATTTCAATTTTTTAATTATAAATTAAATTATAATTAAAATAATTTATTATTTAAGCAAATTTTTCTCTCCTCTTATCGCATATAGATTTCGAAGAAAATATAATACTTGCAATACTTTGTCATTCTTGAGATATCTATATATAAGTAAAAGAAATAATAACATAAGTAAATACATAGATATAAAGAGATAAATAGATCAATGATCTTCTATAACATTTTCATTCACAATATCAAAAAGAATCTAATAGATAAGAAAATACAACAAGAAATTATAGAACATCGAACTAGCATATGTAAATGTCACTTATCTACTCATTATTCCATGATCTACATTATATAAAATTTAAAATATTAATAAAATAATAAAGCAATATGATTTATACAAAGATAATTAACACATTTTATATATATTCTATCACAAAGAAATTCTTTTTTGTGCTCGCTTGAAAGTTACATGGGAAGTATGTAATCAGCCTATTGTCAAATATTTGCAGTTTTCATCATATTTATGTAATCATATATCGTATATCTTTCTGGCAAAAAAATAAATAGATTGGAGACCAAGACTTTGTTTTTTTAATCCAAATATACTTCTATTTTAGAAGGGATAATTTTATCTGATTATTAACTGATATATGTAAAAGAGAGAATATAGCAAGAATGGTGATATTTAACATTATAATCCCTTAAACTTCAATTTCTATTCTCTTTTATTATACGTTTCTATATAAGCATATAAAAAATTTCTATGAAATTCAAAAGAAAAAATTTTTATTTTAAATCTTATAAAACAATATCTTTTGAATTGAAATAAAAAAATATTTAAAGAAACTAATTATAATTTTTTAAATTAAATTAAATAATTAAAATATTTGTTATATAATTAAAAAAATGAAGTCATTTGGTTTAATCGATTTATAATATTTATTATAAATTATATCGTTCCTAAAATTTAGTTCTGCAAAAGGAATTTTTTTTGATTCTAATAATTAAAAATTATTAAAAGATCGAAAAAAAATTATTTGTAATAATAAATTTTATATTTTGCCTATATCCTAATCATATTCATTAAATAAATATAAATATAATAAGTATATATTGATATTGTAGAATTGATATCGTAGAATTTAATCAATTTTATGAATATATCGATCTCGATTCAGTATATATTTTTATACAAACAAGATAAATTTTATTTATAGAATTAATTATAGAATTCTATATAAATTTAATCATAAAACATTAATCTTTTGCAATTTGATATTCTATTTTATTTCATTTCTTTCATTTATGAAGATTTACAAAATATTCACGTTCTTTAGTATAAAAATAGTTTTGAAAATAAATAACATAATTTGTTAATTATCAAAATTCGAAAAATAATCATTAATTAAATCATTACTTTTTTTTCCTGATGAGATAAAAATATGTCAATATATTAGATTTCCTTAAATTACTCATCTCATAGAACATTTATTCATTTAGATGAAACATTAACGAAGGGAAACATTGTTCTCCGGATGTAAGCGTAGCGTTTGTCTCGCGCGCATTTCCAGCGAAGCACGAAAAAATTTCAGGGGAGCGATGCGCGATAAGTAATACAAATTTGTCATGGCGGTAGAGAATCGCGGTAAAAAATTTACGTGCTAAAATATTAGCTTAGAGTACAACGTTGTGATATCTTTGCAAGCGGCGCAAAACATCTAATTGACAGAGAGATTATGGAGTACAAGTTGTTTATTCAACGACAAGTAATATAAGTATAAAGGGACAGTCAGGTCGTGTAACCCGATTATTTCGTTAAAATATCTCGGAATGTTACTACGTACATTATGGTTCATTGGCGTGTTCATTGCTTCCATCGTTTTCCACCCTTCCGAGTTTTCCACTCTTGGCTCGCCGGTTAATACATCAGTTACTTCGAAAGAACAGAAAGTCTTCCTTGATTGCCAATACACTGATTATAGGACCTATATACAATGTCTCAAGAGACAAAAGAGGCATCATTTCGATCATGGACAAATACATGGAGAATACGGTTAGATCAAACTACATATATAGATTTCTTTTTCAAAAGGATGAAATGAAAAAATTGATTGAAAAATCGATAGAAATGAAATTTAAGTGTGAGAATAATTAATTACAAAGTGATCAATTTATTTTATGATATAATTATAAAATATAAAATATAAGATTATATAAATATAATCTTTTTTTTCTTTTTATTTACTCTTATTTTCATTTGATTTGGATAAAAGATAAATCCAAAGAATTAATTAATAATAAAAATGATAATTCTAAGTGATTACAATATTCTATGAAAAAAATGAATTAAAATTGTTTAAATCTTATCTTAGAAATATGTAATAGTTTTTACCGTGTTTTATAAATTTTTTAAATATTTTTGATCACTTCAATTTATTGAACCGCAAATGATTAAGCAAAAAAGGATTAATTTTAATAAATCTTTTATTTTCATGCTATAATTTAATTTGAATTGAAATTTATTTAAATTATTTAATTATAATGATATTATTATTTAATTATTTAAAATTATTTTTTTTATTCAGATATCTTCTTAATAGATTTCTTCTTATTCAAAACTTTTTCTTCGAAATTAATTAAAACTAATGTATATTAACATATATTAAAATTTTATCTAGATCATGAATGTATGGAATCATGCTTGAAGAAATGTGATTTAGATTGCGATGTAGTATGTAAATATTGTATGAGGAAAACAAAGCATAGACACCAAATAATTACAGAATATGAATCTGAATGTGTTTCTGGAAAATGTACAGAACAGAAGAAGGAAGATTTACCAAATGCCAATATTACCACTAATATTAATATTCATAACATTATTCACGGAAATCTATCGTGTTGTAGTAAGTAAAAGATCATTTTTTGAAATATTTAATTTGAAATAAATAATATATTATTAAATATAATTAATATATCTTTTATCGAATGCAGATTCAGGAACTGGGTGTCCACCAAAAATTATATGTCCGCTGCCACCACCATCATCATCTCCACCATCATCATTATCACCTCCGACATCACCGTCATCATCGTCACAATCATCATTTCCGACATCACCGACACCACTGCCACAACTGCCAT